TATTTATTTGTATTTGCTTTTCATATTTCTTAACTTTTTCTATTATATCATATTTTAGCTTTGAACGAAACTTATTTTAAAAATATTATTTTAAAAGTTTACATATTTTTTTTTAGAAGACCTTTTCTTGTAGGTTAAGATTTCTTATATTGGCATTTCATTTTAGTAAATAAATTCATTACGTATAAAGACTTAATTTTTACTTTAACACTTATAATATTAGGCTTATTATGACTAAACCAAAAAAAATAATACTTCTAAATAGTATACATATTTGAATATTTTCTTGTTTGAACTAGAGATTGGATCCGTTAAGAAAATCTCTATCCGGGTATTATTAAATTACCCAGGTTATCTGGGTAAATTATTATGTATTTCGGGTAATCATACAGCAACAATTTCTACCCGGGTTCAATCCCTAGTTTGAACTAATCTTTTACCTCTCACACATAACTTCCATCATTTTAACATTTTACAAAAGAAAAAACGTCCATGCCCAATCGTTCTATTTTATCACGGCCACACATATAGCTTATCAAAGTAATATTACCTTGACAGCTGTCAATCCATATCGGGAAGAAGGCTGTTCAATGGGGTTTTGCGCATACAACTGCAGGAGGATCGTCGTTTGAATTCTTAGTTTTGGAGTATGGTACGAAGGTCTTTTGGCGTAATAAGCGTATTACATTCGGGCATAGTTTCGTGGGTTTCTTGGGTCTTGGGATGGTTCTGATTTTACCTGTGACAATACAAACCTCTTAAAATTTTTTGGTTCCGTATCACTTATCACACAGAAGCTCATTTCACAGACAAGTTTTTTTTTATAAATTACACCAACATTAACTTTAATTCTAACTTGACCTTAACAACAATGGGAAAATTATTTTGCTGCCGAAATGGGTTTCGGTGAAATAAACTGTCAGTGAAATGAATTTGTTGGTCAAATAAGTGTCGGTGAAATAAAACATGTCGGCGAATTGTTTTCGGTAAAATGTTATGTCAACGAAATGAATGTCGGTGAAGTGAGCAGCAACGAATTTTTTTATGCCATCGATTTTCGCGTCAAAATTTACTTGAATTGTAGTTCTTTCTATTGCAACAGAATATTTTCAGAAGATGCAACTAATAAGTTTAGCCAGTTTTGATCATACCCAATTAAATACATAAATTGTATAAACTGTCTTAAAAAACTTGTATTTCACAAAAATTGCAACATAAATTTTTACTAATCAAAGCTATTTTTAATTTATCGCTAGTAAAAGTAAAAAATGTGATTATTTCACTTAACCATGCTCTTGTATAATGTTTCTTTTTCTTTAAGTTTTTATATTGCATTGTTACTGACATTTCCGAAAATAAGTACAAAACTGCGCCATAAATCCCGTAAGTAAAAAATTAAGACGCCACAAATGTCGAGGCTTTGAATCTTCGATTATGATACATGAGGCTTGTCGGCTGAGTAAACAGGCGCAAGATAAACATTCTAAATGAAGGATATGCGTAGCAGTTAGGGATGTATTACATAAATTGTAACTTTACATTGAATAGTGCATTGTCACATGATAATTTTACCGACATTACAAAAGTTTAGCTAGAACTAATAGATATCCATCATTATGTTCGGAATTGCAAAAAGTATTCACCTGATGAAAATTACATGTAATTTTGATTCAGAAACTTACACAAACTTACGTAAAATTACGTAAAATTACGGTAATTTTCCGACCCTAGTGGCAGTATGTTGGAATTCTAAGCGAAAGGGATGGTCAAAGTCTTTTTTAATCATACTTCTAAGGTATTTAAAGGCATAACATCGAGAGCGATGGGTACTACCCTTATGTGTGGGTAAGATCACTCCTCTGGCGAGTTGCCTTACTCCATTTCTCTGTATTAGTTTATGAGTATATGAGTGCTGTCAAGGGAAAATCTCGGTATAAACATTATGCGACTTAGTGAACTCCGATTAGAGATGGTTACATAATTATTGGAGATAACTATAATTACTTCCGATCGGAGTTCACTACGTCGTGAAAACCAGAATTCTAAAAATAGATTTATTTAGACGGACTTTAAATGATACTAACATATGATCAAAAAAACAATATAATTTATTATTCTAGTCAGATCGGTTAAAACGCACTATACGTTCAATTTACAGCCTAGCGCTAGTATAAAATTTGATTCAATAATTTTTTAAGCCATTTCTTTTATCGTAAGAACATTGTAGGCTTTTAACTCACCGGTTTCAAATGTATTTATATATTGATAAACGTTCTTTAAACTCACGCATTAAATTAACGTGAGCAAAATGTAAATATTCATGAGTTCGAATATATTATTTTATTTTGAATAATTAATAAATGTTCTTTATACTAAATTAATATGAGTAAGCCGAATTTGAACCAAATAAAATGAACTTTATACTTAATATGAGTGCTGCTAAGGAAAAATCTGTTAAGTACAAATTAAACTGAGTTAAACTCGGCATAGTTAAAATTTAAATTCATACAGGTTTTCACCTGGCAACACTCACATAAATAATTCTAATTTTAAAAATAAAATTTAAATACATTAATGAAAAGATTATCAAATAATTTACTTTTAAATATAGTCACACCAATAACGTAGTAGCAACAAACGACAGACTTATTATTTTCCATAAAATTATCAGCCTCAGCTATACGTACGTGAATGCTTTGTCTATTTTAACTCAAATTCCTAAATATTAACAACGATCAACTTAATACATTCCATTAGGTTCATTTCTGCAGATTTTTGGTAACGAATAAACGCTTTTAATATTACCCTAAGTTTATAACCAGGCCCGAACATTCCATCCGGATCATTTATCTAAGCACATCAACGGGTAGGTAGAAATAGAACAATTAACAATCAAAAGTGTCAAAGTAAATGTCGATCAAATTGTGTGATGGCAAATAAAAGTCTAGAACTCATTAAAGGTGTTAAAATGATATATCCAATTAAAGACAGCATATACTCAGTGAATGAAAAACGAAAAATTCTCACTTGAAAACTTCCAGTAATAATTGGCCACCAGAAACCCAAATCGATCCATTTCAGGTTCAGTGTTCTTCGGAACATTCCAATTAGCAACTGAAAATTAATTTAATCGGTATGTTAACGTTATAACTTGTTCTATTTTTCATATTCATACACTATATACACTAAAAAATCAAATTTTTATATTGTAAAATTAGTCATATCGATATGATCAATAAATTTAATACGTACTTTGTTACGTGAACTTTAGATAAGTTGCCACACAATCAATTATAAGAGGATAGCTAATTATTTATTTTTGCTAATTATATCTAAATATTTATCACATAGTGTCACCAGTTGATTAATAATGCTGTATGTACTATTATCAATTTGGTAAACAGTACTTGCCCAATTATAAACCTGAATTATATAATAAACAGTAATTACCGTTACGTACCGACTTTAGAGAGTTCAAGAACCGAATTCTCCTTAGATCATGTATGCTTTATCATGTGACATTAACATATAGGACTATTATCTCGAGATTTAGTCAGATCCCATTAATAAATCCAAATATTGATACAATATCGTATGCAAAGTTCATTATTGACAACACACAATCTATTTGAATGAATGGATTATTCTGAGAAGCACAATTCAGAACTCGAAAACTCGAAACTTGATCGACTCCATAGTTTTTATGCGGCATGGTACCTTCAGGTATTGGGAGCGAACCGGATGGTCGTACTATTTAGTATCAAATATATTTTAATAGTAATACTTAATATTGGCTTTAAAATATGGTACGTTGAACTTTGAATAATATTTTTCACATTGCACTCTTAAGTTATGAAATGCCAAGCTGAACGAACCAAATATATAGAGATTATGGTCTAATGTTTTTATCTTAAAAAACGCCCAGCGCGTGTATAGATGTATGAATGCGAGATACATAACCTTATAACCTACATTCTTGGTGTGTAAAGCATTAACACGAGAATCCTAATTGTAAAGTTGCAAAATTGGTAAAAAGGTACAGGGGATATGCATTAGTGTACTTAGAGTTCGCATGTATGTATGTATGTACGTATAGGCAAGAACAGCGCGTCTTTGTCAAAATAAACATGTGATGATTATTTACGAATTAATTGAGATAACGAGATAGAGAATTAGATACAACATGTCGGAGAATAAATCACCAAACCAGACAAGTCCAGTCATCAAATTCCAAGCGAGAAATTATTTAGATCATCAAAAATTCATGGCAAAAAGAATTACAGTACAGCGATCGCGTCATATACATCCTTATTGTCAAATGTTCAGCAAAACCCTAAATACGGTTAGTTGATGTATCACATCTTGCGATTTTTATTAAACAAATAATGATCATAAGGTAAGACATCGTGAAACCATTTTATATGTTATATAAAATTTAACCATAATTTTGAGCTACACTGTAATAATGACAAGCAGAACAGATATGCAGAGCATACCAACCTTGGCTAACCTGATGATGACTAATTTAATATCTTAGCATGGAATTATCATACTATCTGAAACATATAAAAAAAAAATCATCATTGTTTTAAATTTATCAATTTTGCGGCTTAGTATGTTATATGGTCCCTTGATTAGAAAAAAGTTTCTTGCAGTTTCATCTTAGCTTTGTGTCACTATCATCGCTAGATTTGTTTATGTACGCCAAAACAGCGTCATTTAACTGATTTAACTGCGGTGTTAATCGGATCACACGATCATGATTGGTTAACAAAATATTACCAATAATAGTAACGGCAATTGTGCATCGTGTGAGAATGCATGACGATCTTTTCTATTGTCATACTTGACCAGTCTTATTTGTCATGCGTTACAATAAAAACCGTAAAAAGTTTGGCGAATTAATCGCGAAAAATTTCTTTCTCACTCTTCTATTCTTTTGATTTGATTTATAAACCACCTTTAATTAATTATAATAATAATAATTTTTTTTTTTTACAATGGATTATTCAGAAAAAGAACTTGTAGAACTCAGGGAGTTATGTGGTGGTATTGTAAAAAAAAAGCAATAATAATAAATAAAACTTAACGTTAAACGTAAATTTTAGTACTAACGAATTCTTTCCCATCTTTAAGCCCGTGGGATTTCAACTATTGGTGCAAAATCTATACTGGTAGACAGATTATTACGATCGGATCATGAGAATATAAAGAAAGAGAATATGGAGGTAGACACAGTTATCGCTCCTACTATACAGCCATCGGTTTTTTTACAAGCATCATCAGAAGCTGGAACTTCTCAAGGATCTAAATTTGAAAATATGGAATCAATTCCACAAGAATCTTTTTCTCCATTAGAACTGTCACAGATGTCTGCATATCTGGATAATTCTAATGTAGTAGTCAAAAATGAATCAATTAGAGACTTCGTTGAACAGCAGGAATCTGATCTTCCTGTAACCTCGTCTACACCGGTTACGTCACCGATACTTCAATATGATACCACATCTACTGCTACAGATACTGTATCTAATGTGGTACCATTTGAAACTTTATATAATCCATCTTTTTCATATGAGAATCCTCCATATATCGGAGATACTTCATGTGAAATTGATCATGAGCTTTTGGCTCGCTTAATGTCGGAAAGAAAACAATATGATCGAAATATGAGTCTGAACGGATCTAGATTTTACAACAAAAGAATAATGAGTCAAAATCGTCCTAATAATGGTATACACTATAACTTTGATTTATTAGTGGAGATTGTGCAACATTCTGTGGTATACAATGATGGTGAAGTGCCCTATTGGCTACGAGATTCGTATGATGCAACTTATGGTACATCTTATCGGGGTGAGTCTGATATTGTAGTCAATCTGGGCATTGAAATTGATCAAATATTCTTGTTTGATATTTAATACAGTGAATTAGAATTTTTGAATGGTAAAATTACTGTTAAATGATTATCTTTTTTTTCAATATGCTTTGTTTATTACATCTATGTTGACATGATGTTTTTTATTCTTTAGGAAAATGTGAAATTTTCTATTCTAAATTCTATGTATGGATGTATAAAGTTAATTTTTCCAAATTGTCTAATTACAAGTGTATAAACATTGCTTTAAGTAAAGAAAAAAAACCAATATTTTGACTGACAAGTTATTTTTTGTGTTATTTCTCATGAGCTTTTTTATTTTATTAAGAAGTAAGGAATGCAAGTCAAGTATATCTTTAGATTTGATTCTAAAGATTATTTTATTTTTATCTTAAATTTTATATTAAAGTTTTAAACCACTAAAAAATTGCGAAACATATTTTTACACGGTTTAATATTAACTATATCGAATGCCAATTCTTTAATAGTGAAAATGGTATTAAGTAAAACTGATCTATTGGTGATTTTTTTATGCTATCAAATTCCTCCCTGAATTAATATTCTGTATGTTCAAATTTTTGTTGGGTTGCAATCTTCTGATCTTATCACCTGATTTTTTAAAACAAAAAAAATCCCAAAATCACGCAATATAATTCCTCCCATCTCTAATAATGATCCCATCGGTGCGTATTGCATAACTAAAATATAATCACCAGTAGCTCATTTAACTTTAGAATTTATATGTATTAATAACGTAAAAATATTTAATATTAATAAACTTTATAAAAATACTACACTCTTATTACTGTATTATGTGTTATGATTAGATTGACTATTTCGGGTTTCGTGTTACAACTATTATTGTATTACTATTAATCTTGAACACCGAGATTCCGTCTCTTCGCAATGTTATAAAAGAAATTAGCTGAACTACTTATTGTTTATTTGGTTATATTTTTAGAAAAAGCTTGATCTTTCTTTCTCGTGTATCAACATTCAGTACTTCTATTGTTTTTTTAAAACTGTGAATCAAAATAAACGAGTCACTAATTTACGCATTAAAATCTTCTTTTCTTACAAGATTCTTTCTGAAAATGTATAAAGTTGTTATTTTCTTTAATGGTGGAAATAAAATACCGCGTGCTTACGTGCGTACCTACGCACGCATGTACGTATCTATGTTTATACATATTCTGTGCCATCTGTTATCGACATCTTCGATATCTTTCCAATATCTCCAACAAGATTCTCTGAAACACATTATACTTGACACAAATCTGATGTTTCTGGAAACTTTGCCAAGGGACTGCTTACACTATATTGGATTTTGCAAAATTTCTAAAAATGCAGAAATACCTATATTATATATGTTTAATCTTTTTTAAGGTTTAGATATGAAAGATATAAAGTATTTTTATTTAAAGTATTTTATACTAATTAATTGCTAGTGCTTGAAATCATATATATAAAGATATAAAATACTATCCCTTAAACCGTTTTCCAGGCAAATTTGCCTGGATTTTTAAATTAAATTTAGTATTTTTTAAATAACAATAAATTATTAATAATATAGTGTACAGTTTACTTATAAAATATTTTTTTATTAAAAATAGATTTTATAAACTTTATTAAAAAATTTTTTTAAAGTTAATAAGAAGCTTTAAGCAATAAAAATTTAAAGATTTTGGTTAATTTTTATTATAAAAAATTTCTTTAAATTTTTTAAGATTTATATGTTTCTAAAGTTAAAAAAAATTGTATTCTTAATATAAGTCTAAGTTGTATTAATAAAAATTATCATTCTTTATATAAACTATAATATTGTATTAAAAACTATAACAATAAGTTTAAAATTAATATTTAAAATCAAGAATTAGTAAATAAATTTTTAGTTAAAAATTTTTTAAATTTGTTTATTTGTAGCTTATAAATAATTTAAACTTTTTTCTTATAATATAAAATTAGTAATTTGAATAAATAATTTAAATTACTAATTTTAATTAATAATTTAAATTGGTAATTTAAATTAGTAATTTAAATTGGAATTTATAAGTTTGTATTTCAATTTATAAATTAATTTAACAGTAGTTATAATTATAAAAAAAAATTTTGCTTTTGTTAATGCTATATTATATACTATCTAAACAATATAGTAATAAATTAATTTTATTAGTTAATAATTATCAGCATTTTTAAAATTTCTAATTAGATAATTTATTATATAAGATGTAATAAATTTATTTTTTATAATAGAAAAAGTTATATATTATAATTTTGTCATATAAGAAAGTATTTAATATTTTGAAAATAAAATTTAAACTAATCATATAAAATATTTTGTATAATTACTAATATTAAAAATAATGCTTTAATTGATCTTTGTAAAATTTCTTGCAGATTATTATCAATTGTATATATTATATAAATTTTATATAGTTACTTTTATATTTAATTTTAATAATTACAATATTTTAGCTTTAAGGTTTTGCTTATATATAGTAAACTTTACCAGAATAGTTTTTAAAAATATGAATTATATGTTAATGCCATCATATAATACATATTTTTAAAAGCTACTCTAATAGAGCTTGTATGGAAAAATACTTTATAAAAAAACAATTTATATATGTTTACTTTACTGTATATATTAATAATATATTTTATATTATTAAATTTTTTGAATATTTTAATTAATTCAATGCATGAATATGGTATGAATATTTACTGTATATTTAATTTTATTTTTTTATTTTTTTTTTACTATTAAGATAAGTACTTGCAACTTAGAATTTTATTAATAATATGTTTTAGCTAACAACTATTATATAACAATTACAAAGTTAATTATGAAAAAAATATACAACTAGTTACTTGTATAATTTTAGTTATTGTTTAATTTAAGTAGTTTGCTTAAAGGTTTTATACTAGTTGCTATATCTAGAACTTATTTGTAGATCCTCTATTTAAACACTTTAGATCTTATATTTACTTTATTTTACTAATAACTTTGGTAAACTAGTAAAGATATGCTATAATAATTGTTATATTTAATTTTGTACTAAACCTTCTATATCTTATATTTATAGCTAATCTAATATTGCTATAATTTAAACTAGCACTTGTAGTTAAAGCTAACCATTAAACTACTATATCTTTTTAAGGTTTATTCAACTTTAGTACCTATTTTTTTAACATTTTTATCATTATTTTTTACTAATTACAACTAAGAACTAACAGAACTTTTTAGATTTTCAATATAGATAGCCTAGTATAGTATTTTTTTTATCTAGTAATTCTAGCAGTCTGATTAATCATATGCTCTTCTATATATCTTGTTATATAGTTTATCTGTCTATTCTTATTAAAAGTATTTTATAGACTTTTATTAGTTCAATAGCATTATCAAAAATTTGTATTACCTTCTTATTTAGGATTTTCAAGTGGGCTTCTAACTTTTTGATTTTTTTGCTTTCTGCATCTGATGGTCTTATCAAAGATTTGTACCAAATTTTATACAATACTGGTTATTAATTTCTTTTATATATATATACTTTACATAAATGCTCTAAACTTTTATTTAAAATAGTGTAACTAAAGATTACAAATACACTAATTTAACTAATTGACAAAGTTAGTTACTATAATACAAATATAATTTTTAAAATTTATTACTTGTAAAATTTGAACTTTAAATTTGCTACTTAGAAATTAACAATTTGTCTATGTTATTAGATTAATATATCCTTTAATTTTATTTTATTTATACTAACTTTTTATAATAAATAAAAAAATTTATTAGTATATAACTTTTGGGTCTTTTTTATATATAAATAAATATAATTAAAAGTCTTATATATTGTTACAGGATTGTAGCCTTTTTGGTACAATACAATCAAGTAACAAGATCACCTAGTATAGTAATTAACTATTGCAAATATATATAGAATGAAGGTGTAGTAGTTTACTTTACTATATAGCAGCAGGCAAATAGTTCAAAATAGTAACAGTATATAGATTAACTTTATTAAATAAATATATAGTAACAATCTTGCTTGTAAAAATTATCTTAAAAGAAGAATATTACTTTTACAAGATAGAAGTAAAGGTAGAGAAGTTTAGGTTAAAATATAAAACTTAAAATTGGCAAAAAAAAAAAAATTCTTTATATATTTTTTTACTTAGTAAGAATAGTGAAGATTTAAGCAACATTACTTGATACTGTATTTAGGGTAATAGGAGTTTAAACAATATTAAATAGTATTGTACTTGTAAAGTAGAGGTTCAAATAACATTAAATGATACTATGCTTGAAATAGTGAGAATTGTGCAGAGTTAACTAATGATAATATTTATATTATTTGTTATTTGTATTTGAAACATTTAGGGCTTGTATTTAAACACTTGGATCTGTGCAAAGTTACTTGAGATTTGTGCAAAAATATTTGAAGTTTGTGCAGAGACACTTGGAGTTTATGTTGGAATACTTGAAATTCTTGTATTGTAGCACTTGATACAGTAATTTGATGCTAGAATATATAAAATTTATATAAGAATACTTGGAATTTATAAAACTATAGTAACATCACAGATATTACTTAGTGTTATGTAGTTGTATCATATTTCTAATAATCAATTAAGATCCTTCTATCTATTTACTATATGATATAACTATTGGCTAACTAATAACTAATATCTAATAATAAATATAATATATAAAATACAATAATAAATATATATATAACTACTAATACTATTATATAATATATTATACTAAAATTTATCTTGTAACAATATATTTGCAGTATAAAAACTTAACATTTTAATTTAATAATATTTATAATTACAAATATATATAAATCTAACTAACTTATATATATATACAAAATTGAGTATATTACTATCTGTATATTTAGAAATCTGCAATATACTAAACAAAAATAATATATCTATATATAAAATTAAGTATGTATATATAATTTTTTATGTAAAAATTTATTATATAATTTGTATATTAATATACTTATTACTAAGTATATAACAAAA